AAAAAAAAAAAAAAAAAAGAAAAAAAAAGAACAAAAACAAATTAATTGTAATGAGGTGGCAAAGACATCAAACACATATTCATTATGTACATGAGATCCAAACAATATGGATAATAATAAACAATTTTTAAACACAAAAACTTTTTTAAGCCTTCTTAGTTTTCGCTGCAGTAGCCTTCTTCGCCGTCTTCACTTTTACAGTCTTCTTCTCAGCCTTAGCCTTAGCCGCCTTCTTCGGTTTCGCTGCTGACGCCTTCTTTGCAGGCGATTTTGCTGTTTTCTTTGCTGCAGACTTTGCCGACGACTTACTTTCGGCCTTCTAAACATAAAGAAGAGTTAACTTGCCTGCCAGTGCAACAGCTATAAGCCATATTCACCACTGTAAACATGGGGAAAGCTAAAAGAAGCAGTGGTGCCGAAAACAACAATTTCAGGCAACAGGTTAGCGCAGGCAAACCTTCTTAGGGCTCTTGGGCTTTGCAGCTCTTTTGGCGACAGATTTCTTTTCTGATGTCGTGGTCTTCTTCGCCTTTGGTTTTCGTTCCTTTTTCACTTTACCTTCAGCAGATTTGGGTTGTGCTAATCGGAAAGAACCTGATGCACCAACACCCTTCACCTGCTTGAGCATATTGCTAGTAACGCCTCGTTTCAAAGCTTGACGAAGATGGGCATTGACCTAAAGCACCAAATCTATTGTTATAAAAGATCAGGAGGTCAGTTAAATAATTCGAATAAAAACTGAAAATGAGGAGAAAAAAAAACATCACAGAGACAGGTCAAAATACAAAACATTAGTGGCTAGAGTAAACAACTGGGCAGTAGATAACCAAATAAATAAAACAGAAAAAAAACATAAAGCTTACAGCTGTTAAGTTCTCGCCAACTTTGTAGTTTTGTAGAATATATTTTAGAATGGCTGCACGGCTGGAACCTTTTTTTTCTTTCAAAGCAACCAAAGCGGCTTTGACCATATCCCCATACGATGGATGTGGTGCAGGCTGTTTAACTTTTTTCGGCTTCGATGCGGCCGCAGTTTTTTTGGCTGGAACCTTCTTTTGGGAAACCTCAGGAGCTGGAGCTGATTCAGAGACTTCAGCTGACATGATTCTTAGACCGATACGTAAAACACGCTAATAAACAAGTCGAAAAATGCGCAAAATAACGAATGAGGACGGCGCGGTCCGCAGTGCATTTTTATTTGAACAGGCACGACTGCGTTGCGACTCCATCTCGCAGTGCTGTTTCATTGCCAAAAGAAATCTGTAACTCGGTAAGTGCTGTCGAGTTGACAGCTTCTAGCTCGAGCTCAGTTTAGTCGTTCTACCTGAAACCATCGCAGAATTGTAGTCAACAGACTGGGCTATCTACTGAATATAAACTTTATACGGTTCATTGAGTTATTAGTATTGAAAAACAATAGAAACTTCTGGAAAAGAAATTTTCAAAAACATTTTCAACAATTAAGTAATTGTTATTGGAGGGTTAAAAAAATTTTTCCCACAAACCGTAGGTGTATTTTGAAGACCATTTTCTCAGCTATCAGAATTGTTATCACACGAATGATTTGAACATGAACTAGCTTAGTTGTAGCAACATTTACTGAACTAACTCAACAACACTGAATCAGAAAAAAGTTCAGTAACTCTACAGTTACGTGTTAGAAACCGACAATTTTGGGTCCAATCGAAAGCTAAAAGTGCCAAATATCCAATGGTAAACACAAAACAAAGATTTTTCCTCAATTTTTAACCCTTTTGGTAGCCGGATATTCAGGATGTTTGATGGCTGTGTGTTGCACTTAAAATTACGTTGTTCAGCATCACGCTCAATGTTTTCTGCTGCCATTACTCTTTCAAAAAATAATTCTTTATTTTTTTTTCTTTTTTTTTCTCCTTCTTTTTTCCTCCAAAAAATTTCTTCTAATAACTTCTGATATGAATCCGACTAAAACGGAATTTTAGAAGGTATTATCAGCGATGTCAAATTGTTTAAAAACTGAACTCCAGCGGTATGTCGGTTATATCGTCAGCCTCAAAATGATGTTTGAACCAAAATCGAATTTCTTTACACTACTATCGAAAGTTTTTCACTAAAACAAATTTTTACTTGCAGTCACTTTAGTTGCTCTTCTTTTTTTCTTCACCATATTTTTGTGTTACTTTTTTGAAATTTTACTTATAAAAAAAAAAATGTGCAAAGTTTTTGAATATTCACCAAGTTACTGGACAGTGTGATTGCGAATCTCAGGACAGAATGTTTAGCACATTTAGTTAATGAACTGTCAGCTATAAAATAT